GCGGGAGAGGACGTATTGAGATATTGATTGGAGCTTCAGGCGACATCATTCTTGCGGAGGAGCTTTACCTCAGGAGCGTCGCAGACGAGGAGATGGCCAAATGCATGGCCTATATCTGCAAGATTGATCCAGCAGCGCCTCTCGACATCAGCTATGTGGTTCCAGAGTCTATAGCCATGCGAGTTCTCAATGACGAGGCGCCAGATGTGGAGTCCCATACGGCAGCACACACTCACGAGGGGGTACTGCTCATTATCATTGATTGAGGTTCTCTCTTTTCAGTCACTATGATGTATTACGACATTATTATTTATTAGTGACTGCAGCCCTCCGATGGCTGCTCCCTGGATACATTGTGTACTACTCTTCAGTCTCATTTCTCTGGTCATGCTCTTGCAGAGTCTGGTTTCTGGTCTTTTCATTTTGTCAGTATCAATTATTCTATGATGAAGGTATGTATGCTATTTTCCTCCTTATTTTATATAGGTTACACTCAAGGCAGCTTGAAGGACTCCTGAATGATAGGGACTCCGGTGACCTTGGGTCTATCCTTTATACGGGTTCAGGTGCAGGCGATAAACCCGAACGCCTCACTCTAAGCCGTGTCGCCGCTGGCAGGAGGGATAACCCTGACTACTCGACTGTAAGACAAAGTGTGACAAAGACTGCCTCTGATTACACCTCCATCTATTTTTTTTTATACCTATCAAAATCCTGCGTGACAGCCTGCCAGTCCTCCAACCCACTGATCTCGGTCCGGGGAAGGATATCTAACCAGACCCTTGAAGCAGTGGGGGCGCGACAACGTCCCATGCCATTTCGGCCTCGTCCGCCACCCCCTCGGCCTCCTTGTCCCCGACCACCATTGCCCTGTCCTCCTTGCCCTTGGCCTCCTCCTCCCGCCACGCTAGCCTACGATGCTTGCTGTGAGGGGGGAGGCTGGGCCGTGAATTGGCCTTGCATCGCCGAGAAACTTGGTGGCCCTGCGCTCGTTGACGGACCTGAGAACGGAGCCGTCTGTCCAGTATGGGCTTGGCTCCCTCCACACGAGGTGCAATGACTACAGCTGGGCCAGGGTGCCGCTTGGCAGTACGGTACCCATTGTCGGGAGGCCGGAGGCGGCCCCATTGGTGCCGGCCCTGCCGATACGGGCGCGGTTACGGCGGCTGCTCGCGATGCGGCAACTGCCTGGGGGACCTGCCCTTTGCCAAACCCTTGGCCACCCAGCAATAAATTGCGTTGCTTCCGTTGGGCCTTGGTAAGGATCTGCGATCCCGTCTCCTCCCCGCTGTAATCCTCCTGCCTAGCGCCCTCATCCCCCCACCTCCTTTCCTCGGCCTTGGACCACGGCTACCACCTTTTTTTGCGCCTCGGCATCCTGGTCGTAGCCTAACACCGCAAGTACATCAGTGACGATCCTCTTTACTCCCGGGGTCCCTGATGCAGTAGCGTCTCTCTCCTTCCTTTTCCTTCTTTGCAAGCGCATCTGATGCTGCTCTACCTGGTCTAAACTCCCATCCTCCACTCCTCTGTCGATGGTGGCCCAAGTAAGTTTTGCGCTGCCTCCTCCATGACTCGTCAATTCGGCTGCCTCTGACGCAGTGAGCAGTCCCAAAAAGATGGCGCACTGCCTTTCCTCAGAGATTCCGTGGACTTTCCTTGCCTTCTTCTTAAACTCTTGTACGAAGGCCCCTATCGTGGTAAAGTCGTCCTTGTTCACCGCCTCAAGGTCCGAGATGGTAAGCAACCTATCACCCAACCGATACTTGCGCAGCATGCTCTCCCTAAACCTTGCCCAACTGCCATTGGCGGCATCCACAACCTTCTGCACCTCCTGATGGTGCCCATGGAGCACGTACCTCATAATGCGCTGAAATTTCACCTCATCCGACAATCCCACCATTGCCTGCTCCACCAGATCTAGCCAATCTGAGACCCTTTCCCCATTGAAATGAAAGGTCTCAACCTTCGGAACGTTACTCGGGGTCTTCTCATGTCGATCTAGGGCTGCGATGAGGTCCTTGATGGTCAGGACCCTTCCGGCGTCATCCGATATACTGCCACCCTCCGGCATCTTGGTAGGCCTCTTCTTCCAACTTCTTGTATAAGACAAAAGCAAGGACACCCCTCTATTCAGTATCCTACTCCAACCTGGCCTACTTCATATATCCTACCTTAGACCCACATCACTCACCCCACACTCCAGGCGCTCTCGCCTCTCTCTTATGCCTAATGCTCGCTCATACCCGGATGTCGTTCCACCAGGGACAATGGTAGGCTTCTGTTATCCCCGACAACGGCGCCACTTGTCGAGCGCTTCGGTCCGGCACCGCACAAGGCAGCGCGGGACCCTCTCGACCGCGTCACGCAGGAGTTGGACCAACCTCGTCACGAACGCACATGGAGCTTCCTTAGGCCGCTCCGGCCGAGTGCGCCAGCCATACCTCTCGCGAGCCCCTACGATAGGATAGGGCCTACGCGAGGCACAACTAACCTCCACCTTGCGGGAGCTGTCACCTCCCTTCGGTGGGCGTATCGCCGCCGAGCTACCAGTCCACAGTACAAGAGCTGATCATTTGCAGTCGTAGAGGTGGACCAGCCGAGGGCGTTTTTCGTTCGCTGTAGCATAGGGGGTACGAGCGGTAATACGCCTATCGGACCCGCACGCGAACCGACATCTTGGGGGGCAGAAGTCCCAAGCGCGGCTCGACGCCGGTCGATTAGGACGCATCCCACACACCACGCGCACACCACTTTACAAACACACAAAAAAAACAAACACACACACGTATACGCGAAACGACACAACCCAAACAACGCGACAACGCTCCTAGCCCTTCCAGTGGCCATCCCATAACTTTCCATTGCGGAAATCGGATAGGCGTCGCGCGCGAGACTTAGTATAAAAATCGCGCGGACGCAGGGTCTACTCGTATCGACTCGCAATGCTAACCTACGCAAGCAGTCGCAGTGATGGCGTACTATGTAGTACCCATACTCGCGCGGTCCTCGTTGACTTCGAGGGTCGCATTCGAGACTCAAGTGTCGGCTGACAAGCGCCTTGAGGGGTAATCTCTCGACGTCAGACAACCGCCATGTGTGGTTGAAGACCACACCCTCTTTTGCACCCTGTGAAGAGGGGTTGAGTAGACAGCTTTAAGTTGTCGTGGCGGTCAAACATCAAGGGGTTTGACTTTGACGGCTGCCACGGACTATAACGTCCAACCATGAAAGCTCAAAAAGGAAAACTCACTCCAATTCTCATTAGTTTATTGGCCTCCTAGAATGGAAGGGGTAGATAGGCTCAAACGACGCGCGCGCGGAGGAGGCCCGATATCCTACCCATAGGCTACCCGATGTCCGGGATAGTGAGGCCCGTACACGGACTCCCATAGGTCGACTGGGACTAGTCCTTTGCCCACGTGCCGCTCCGCGTTACCAAAACCCCGAGTCTATTGACCGTGTCGCGCTCGTGGTCTCGTCGCCTGACCCATAACTTTTTAGTGCGAGAATCGGCGAGTGCTGCGCGCGCGGGCTTAATATAAGACCGCGCGGACAATGGACCTACACATACCATCTCACTATGCAGCTCTATGTGAGTATCTGCGATGACGGCGCATTATACGGTGCCCATACCCAAATTGCCTATTCTGAGCCATGAGGTCATTTCCGACGCTCAGGCGTTGGCTGAAGCGCGCGCTAAGGGGAGGTAACCCTTTAGCGGGCGCAAAACCGACCTGAGGGCTTTTCCGCCTTCTGCACCCTGAGGTGTCCCAAAGGGTGCGGGGCAAGACGACCCCTAGGGCAGGAAGGAGGTTGGAGCGGTGGTGAGTTGTCAGGCGCACCACCAGCGACACGCTAGCCCTTCCGCCCGGAACTTCATCGTTCCACCAAAATAATCTTCAACAGGGATAGAAACAAGTACTTCTAATATCATCAGACGAGACATCCTCGGGATCAGCCCTATAGGGGTTACCCGAATGCACGCCTAGTTATCAAAGCGAAAATAGAACAGTCTCACTTAAACAGAAAGGTTGTGGGGTAGTTCACTCTCACGACAGTTGTGTGGTTTGCCCATCTAAGTCCAAGCAATATCACTCAACATAAATCAGTCGAAACTCTTCCATACATACCTGCAATCACATCACAGAACCAGACAAAAATCCACATACTACACAAAGTCAACTCCAACCAACCTCTGCACTCATACCCCTTGCTTTAGCCATGCAAACCCCAACCTTTTGTCCAACCAACCATAATTAAATACTTAGTACCTTTGTTAAATGACCATTCAATAAAAGTCCGGGTAAAACCTTAATGAAACAATAAAATCACCAGGGCTAAAGCCTTTTAGGTTGAGTACGGAGGGTGAGTTGGAATTGAGTCATAGACCGACGAATCGCCAACCGGTCTGTTATCAATGATAACAAAAGATTGATCCTCAAGGGATGAGCTGACTCTAACCCAAATCCGGAATCAGATCGATCAAACCGGCCCGTAACACAAAATAGGTCAATGCCCAAGACTGGACCCGTAAGTTCTATGGGGAATACTCTCTATATCGTCGTCTCACCCAAGCTCCAGCTAGCCAACCAGATCTAAGTCTACTCCTAGTCAGTGCCCAAGGAAAAGGTAGACCTTTGGCTGGATCTCCTCTATACAGAGTGGATTGCCAAAATTTGCCACCTGTCATAACATAATCTAACTCCTCTAAACTAAGGAAATTTCGGCAGCGCTGTAGGGAAACTGCCTTTCTAGAATTTATACGGGTCCAAATATGAAAACCAAAGCAGTCTTTGATTTCCCAAGTTCAAGTTTTGTCTAACTCCCTGGATTAGCAAAGATTCGGGCAGCACTCCCTTTAGAAAGAGAGACTTCCCAGATTTCTACTAAGCCATGTATGGTATTCAGACAAGTTGAGCCTTGGAAAGTCAAACTTTGACTAACTCCTTGGATTTGTAGAAATTTCGGCAGCGCTTCCCGTAGGAAAAGTGACTTACCAAGATTTATATAAGCCCAAACATAAGAAAAAAATCTCAGAAAATGCAGAAATCGATTTAAGTAAAAAAAACTATCTCATAAAATGCAGGAATTGATTCTAACTCCTATTGCTCTAGCACATGGCGAGCAACTACAACAACTACCTATCAACTCAAACTCTGACTAGGTAGTGATGCCACTCAGTCACATGCAGGTCAAACCACAAAGGTAAGTACTCTCACCATCCCAAGTTGATTTAGCAGACAATAGTTCATAGTCCTTCAATGATTTAACCCTTTATACCCTGCTTACATAGGGCATTGGGGTTGGTCATTCGTCTTAGAAACAATGCCACCCTTCTGCCTTAATTATACACGAACAGGTTGCACAACTACTTTTCTCTTCATTGGGCATATGACTAAGCCATTCATCTTAGAAAGCATGCTTAGTTGCCCTGAACTGTTTAAATAGCCAAGTTATATATATATTTTTGCACCTTAGTCTTCAAAAGGAGGGCGTAGGGCTGGGCCATTCATCTTAGAAACAATGCTCCGCCTGCCCAGGTTACCTTCAGTTATAACTCTTGATTATACTCTCTTTGTTTGTGATAGGGCTATAGTCAGACCATTTGTCTTAGAAACAATGTCTGACTAACCTTGTTCGCATATAAGTACATATATATACAACATTATAGGGAATCCTATTCCTTTGTTCTCATTATGGTCCTGAGGCCTCAGACTTAGACCATTCGTCTTAGAAACAATGTCTAGTCCTTTGGCCTGAACCCTCCCTCAGAATAAAACAACCAAAGAGAGATGAGTCATTCGTCTTAGAAACAATGCTCAACTCTCCTTTTCTCAGCACATATAAAAAAAGCGAAGTACCCTGGGTCTGACCCAGAGACTGCTCAGAAACCACCCAAGTAAACAGCAACCAGACCATTCATCTTAGAAACAATATCTGGCCCTCAGAAGTCAGGCAATCAATATTCCTCAGAATTAAAGTCGTCACGCCATTCATCTTAGAAACAATGCTTGGCACAATTAAAGAAACACAGCAACCAAGCCATTCATCTTAGAAACAATGTTTGGTTCTTCTGAAAACAGAACAAAACACAGCAGTCAGACCATTCATCTTAGAAACAATGCCTGACCCTATAAGACCCGTTCAATCGCAAGCAAAACTGCCTTCCTCCCAGCCTTCCCCCAGATGCAATCCCCTGTGACAATCTGCTTTCAGGCAATCAAAGAAACTGAAACTGCCATTATACATACATTCCTTTACTTAGCCTGATTTGTGTCATGAAAGCCAACTCAAAGTCAAAGTAGGGGTGCATGCGATACATTCAACCAATACACAGGGAGATGTATAGATAGGGGTTATATTGGGTTTGTAAGGGAAAGCAATGGCTACCTCTGAGTTCCCTGCCTCCATAACTCCTTCTGACCTCCGGCAGGGCTCCCGCAATCGGTGGGGCAACCTTCCACAAAGGCCTTGGCGCGGATTACGGGTTGCAATCCCGCCTGCCGCCTTCCTCTCAGAACCAGTTAGACTAGATTTAGAGTAAGAAGGGCAGAAGGAGAAGCATTAAGTCTCTCAGATACAAGAGGGGTGCACTCAGGCTCGCGCGAGAGGGCCTTCAAATCTCCAGCGCCTGAGGGCCCCGCAATGGTAGCCATGTGTAGCAGCTCGTCCAATTGCTGAGCCCAACCCCCTTGACGATCTCCCAACTGCAGCAACGCTTCCCCTTTTGCGTTGCCCGCTCTCCAATGCTACTGCAACAGTAGCCTTCCTTTCAGCTTGGCTGCAGTCACTCACCGCTAGCCAACCACACTCTAAGCATTGCAACAGTCCGTATTAGGCTTGACAATTGTTGCTGCACATCAAGCCGCAGCAGACCACAACGATGGGCAACCGACAACAGTTGGCCACAGCCCGTGCGCAGTCACGCCCACACGCAGTAGTCTCCCTTTCCCCACTCCCCCTCAGGTCTTTTCCTCGCCGTTACCAACGTAGCTGGTCAATGGCCCTTAAACAGTCGGTACTTGGAGCAGCACGATAGTCCCTGGCGAGCTCAATACCTGATGTAGCAGAAAAAGGACGCAGTTAAGATGGGCAGAGGAACGCTCGACACCGGGCAGTGAAACTGCAGCCTGTA